CCTAGTAGGGGACCATTCCCTTCTGTGTGTATGTGGTAAAACAAGGTCTGGCTATGTAACCCAGGATGGCCTTGAACTTAGAATCCTAGTGCCACAGTGCTAGGATTACATGCATGTGCCACTGTGCCTGTTAAACTCATTCCTCCTCCTCTTGTTTTGATTGATACTGGGGCTTGAACTGAGGGCTTTGCTTCTGCTAGGCAGGCAGTCAGGTAGAGTCTCTGGTTTTTGGCCTGGGCCAGTCTCCTCATCTATAGTCTTCCACAAGCTGGATTCATAGGCTTTTGACTGACACCACACCTAACAGTGTCTCCGTGCTGGTCTTTGAAATTGACCTCAGGGCTTGGGAGCTGTGTTTGAACTTTTAGTGCTTCACCCCTGGAGCCACAGCTCCACTTCCAGCATTTTGTTGGTTAATTGGAAATAGAATCCCATGGAGTTTCCTGTGCTGATGTTGAATCACAATCCTCAGATCTCTGCCTCTTGAGTAGCTAGGATTTACAAGTGTAAGCCACTGGTGCTTACATAACTTTTTACTGGGCTGACCTTGAACCTAATCGTTTTTTATCTCTACTAACTTAGTAGCTAGGATGACTCATGAGCCTCAACCCAGTCATGTTTATTAGTAGAACAATTCATAGTCTTAGTTGGGTATGATGGCATATGCCTTTAAGCCTAACATTCTGGACTAAAACAGGCAGATTGAGCTTAAAGTCAGTATGGGCTACATAGTGAGACCCTGTTTCAAAAAATACTTGTAGTCTTGGGGTGAGAAGGTGGCTCAAGTGGTAGGGTGCTTGCCTCCCATGCATGAGGCCCTGGGTTCAGTTTTTCCACACCACATGAGCAGAAAAAGCCGGAAGTGGCACTGTGGCTCAAGTGGTAGAGCGCTATCCTTGAGCTGAAGAGCTGAGGGACAGCGCCCAGATCCAGAGTTCAAGCCATGACTGAACCAAAAAAAAAAAAGTAATTGTAGTCTTAAAGAGAAATGTATTAATTTGTTAATGGCTTTTTGCTCTGTACTGACTCAGTGTTTTACTTACTTGAATAGCATTGTGAAAATTCTTTCTTTTTTTTAGGTGTGGTGAAACTGGTCATGTAGCCATCAATTGCAGCAAGACAAGCGAAGTCAACTGTTACCGCTGTGGCGAGTCAGGGCATCTTGCACGGGAATGCACTATTGAGGCTACAGCCTAATTATTTTCCTTTGTCGCCCCTCCTTTTTCTGATTGATGGTTGTATTATTTTCTCTGAATCCTCTTCACTGGCCCAAGGTTGGCAGGTAGAGGCTACTCCCAGGCCAGTGAGCTTTACTTGCCGTGTAAAAGGAGGAAAGGGGTGGAAAAAAAAACTCGACTTTCTGCATTTAACTACAAAAAAAAGTTTATGTTTAGTTTGGTAGAGGTGTTATGTATAATGCTTTGTTAAAGAACCCCCTTTCCGTGCCACTGGTGAATAGGGATTGATGAATGGGAAGAATTGTGTCAGACCAGTAAGCCCATTCTGGGTTTCTTAAATATTCCCATGTAAGAGGTGAAACCAATTCTGGAGGTTTCTATGAACTTCCATAAATAACTTTAATTTTAGCATAATGATGGCCTTGGATTGTCTGACCTCAGTAGCTATTAAATAACATCAAGTAACATCTGTATCAGGCCCTCATAGAACATACAGTTGAGTGGGAGTAAACAAAATGAGAAGGCAAACGAGTTAAAGGCTGCAGGAGAGAAATTGGAATAAAAGCCTAAGCCAGTACAGCTTTTCACAGCGCTGATGCTGGATATACAGATGGTGATGGCAAAGGTTAAGAACACACATTTTCAAAGACTAAATCTAAAAACCCAGAGTGAACATCGTTTCTCAGAGTTAGCAAAATTTGGATTTATTCAGGAATTGCAGAGAAATGCATTTTCACAGAAATCAAGATGTTATTTTTGTATACTATATCACTTAGACAACTGTGTTTCATTTGCTGTAATCAGTTTTTAAAAGTCAGATGGAAAAAAGCAACTGAGTCCTAGGAAATAGAAAATGTAATTTTAAACTATTCCAATAAAGCTGGAGGAGGAAGGGGAGTTTGACTAAAAGTTCTCTTTGTTTGTTTCACATTTTCATGAATGAATGCCACATTAAAGAGGAATTTGGAGGGACTGGAAGCTCCAAGGAACACAGGTTTGGATAGGGAATTGTTTGGGTGCCAGTCTTTGGGCTTGAACTTAGGGCCACGGTGCTGTCCCTGAACTTTATTTTTTGCTCAAGACTAGCGTTCTGTGACTTAAAGCCACAGCTCGTCTTGGGGCTTTGTACTGTGCCGCTTAGATCTCATTCTCCTGAGTAGCTAGGATTATAGGCCTGAGCCACAGGTACCTGGCTGTTATTTGGGATGCTGTGGCCAACCCACCTCGGGTTGGGGTTATTAAGTTTTATAATTTGTTGTATTGTTTGTACGTTGTTTTGCTGGTTGGTTTTTCTTCAGGTACCTGGCCTTGAACTCAGGAGGTCCTTTATGAATCACTATGAGCTCCTATTACCATTGAGGTTGAGGTCCGTTCTAAGTTTTTTTGTCTCAAGACAAACCTACTTGCGTTAGTTTCCTGTAAGGTAACAGCCGCAGGTTTGAGGATTAGCAGTGCACAAACTGGGACTCTGGTCACAGGGGAACAAAACGCATTTGTCACATGCCAGCATCACCCAAAGAACTGGTTCAGAGTGTGGATGCTACAGCTTCCAAAGGGCCCCCCGAAAACGGGAGGAGAAGCTGCCAGAGACCACGCGGGGGAGGGGGCGTCACCGTCGGGAGACCACGCGGGGGGGAGGGGGCTGGGGGTCACCGTCGGGAGACCACATGGGGGGGAGGGGGGCGGGGATCACCATCGGGAGACCACATGGGGGAGGCCGGGGGTCACCTTCGGGAGACCACGCGGGGGGGGGGGGGGAGGGGGGCGGGGATCACCATCGGGAGACCATGCGGGGAGGCGGGTGGGGATCACCATCGGGAGACCACGCGGGGGAGGGGAGGGGGGCGGGGATCACCATCGGGAGACCACGCGGGGGGGGGGGGAGGGGGGCGGGGATCACCATCGGGAGACCACGCGGGGGAGGGGAGGGGGCCGGGGGTCACCGTCGGGAGACCACGCGGGGGGGAGGGGGCCGGGGGTCACCGTCGGGAGACCACGCGGGGAGGGGGGTGGGGATCACCGTCGGGAGACCACGCGGGGGGGGGGGAGGGGGGCGGGGATCACCATCGGGAGACCACGCGGGGAGGGGGCCGGGGGTCACCGTCGGGAGACCCCGCGGGGGGGGGGGGAGAGGGGGGCGGGGATCACCATCGGGAGACCACGCGGGGAGGGGGGGGAGGGGGGCGGGGGTCACCATCGGGAGACCCCGCGGGGGGGGGCGGGGATCACCATCGGGAGACCACGCGGGGAGGGGGGTGGGGTCACCGTCGGGAGACCCCGCGGGGGGGGGAGGGGGGCAGGGATCACCATCGGGAGACCACGCGGGGAGGGGGCCGGGGGTCACCGTCGGGAGACCCCGCGGGGAGGGGGGTGGGGTCACCGTCGGGAGACCCCGCGGGGGGGGGGAGGGGGGCAGGGATCACCATCGGGAGACCACGCGGGGAGGGGGCCGGGGGTCACCGTCGGGAGACCCCGCGGGGAGGGGGGTGGGGTCACCGTCGGGAGACCCCGCGGGGGGGGGGGGCGGGTCACCATCGGGAGACCACGCGGGGAGGGGGCCGGGGGTCACCGTCGGGAGACCCCGCGGGGGGGGGGGGGGCGGGTCACCGTCAGAGAGACTGCCCTCTGTGCTCGCCGGGGCGGGCGGGCGGCGGAGCGGTGACTCAGCACCTCCACCCCAGCGGGGCCCCGCCCCTGGCGAGGGCGGGCGTGTCCCTCCCGCGGGGCGGGGCGGGCGGGGCGGCCTGCCGACCTCCAGGAAGCGCCCGTTGCGCGAGAGCCGGCAGGCCCCCTGCTGGCTGCGCGGGCGTAGCTTTGCCACGCCCCCACGGGCCATTCGCATGCAACGTCCTCCGCTTCCGGAGCCTTGCTTCCGGTCCCGCTGTTTCCGGTTCCTGGTGGGGACTGAGAAGCGCGAGTTGCTGGGCCTGGGGCGGCGAGACCTCGGGCTGCACCTTGGGCGCCATGGTGAGTGGGAAGGGCGGGGACCGAGAGGGAGGGCGGGGGAGGGCCGGCTCGGAAGGGTCAGCGGCGCGGGGAGCCCTTACCGCGCGCGACGGGCGCCGACGGGCGCCGCTGGGGCCCCGGGTGTGAGTGCAGAAGGGGCCACCAGCCAGTTTGTCCAGCCGCTATCAAGTGCCTCTCTGTGTTGGTTGATGTATATAAACTACATGCCTGGCACTTTTATGCATATTTATCTCATTAAGTTATCCTATTTTTTTTCTTTTTTGCCAGTCCTGGTGCTTGAACTCAGGGTCTGGGCGCTGTCCCTGAGCTTCTGCTCAAGGATAGCACTCTACCACTTGAGCCACAGTACCACTTCTGGCTTTTGCTGTTTTTGTAGTACTCAGGAATCAAACCCAGAGCTTCATGCATGCTAGGCAAGGCAAGCACTCTACCACTAAGCAACATTCCTAGCTAATTGCTAGGTTTTTAAAAAGAGGTAGCCGAGTAAGAACCACACCACGCACCTGGTATTCAGGTCAGGGGTAGGTTTATTCAGTAGACCTGCTGGGACCAGGCCAGGTTGGCACGCACGCAGCTGGCAAAGAGGGTGTCTGGCCCTGGGTTAGGCCTTATCTAGGGTAGGGGTAGGGAGAGGTGTGTCCAGGTAAAGGGAAGTGGGGCGAGGTGAGAGAAAGGTGTGGCCACATCAGATCCAGACGAGACCTCAGGGGATGCAGATGTGACCTCTTCTAGGTGTCCCAGTTGCCTAGGTAACAGGTATTGGGTGCGGTCTGCTCATCATCCAGGAATGGACCTTACAATTATCACATTTCTGTGAGATAAGAAATATGATCTCTACCCCAGTCACTGAGCCGCCGCGGAGGACTCAGCTGCCTCCCCTTTGAGCCCCCTAGCTTCCCCACGCTCCGTCCCTCCCCCCCACCCCCCTTCTCCTGCAGCCACCTTCCGCAGGCCGTTTCCACCGAGGAAAAGGAATCGTATTGTATGTCCGATATCCAGAACCTCCACTCTTTCGACCCCTTTGCTGATGCAAGTAAGGGTGATGACCTGCTTCCTGCTGGCATTGAGGATTATATCCATATAAGAATGAAACAGAGAAACGGCAGGAAGACCCTTACTACTGTCCAAGGGATCGCTGATGATTACAATAAAAAGAAACTAGTGAAGGCATTTAAGAAGAAATTTGCCTGCAATGGTACTGTAATTGAGCATCCAGAATATGGAGAAGTAATTCAGTTACAGGGTGACCAGCGCAAGAACATATGCCAGTTCCTGGTAGAGATTGGCCTGGCTAAGGACGATCAGCTGAAGGTTCATGGGTTTAAAGTGCTTGTGGCTCACTGAAGCTTATGTGAGGAGTTCCTTGCAATGAGTAGAATTTCCCTTCTGTCCCTTGTCACAAGTTTAAAAACCTCACAGCTTGTATAATGTAACCATTTGGGGTCCGCTTTTAACTTGGACTAGTGTAACTCCTTCATGCAATAAACTGAAAACCAAAAAAAAAAAAAAAAAAAAGAAATATGATCTCTAGTGTAAAGATGGGGAAACAGGTTTGGAGAGACCACTTCTCAGTGAAGGTGTGAAAGAACAGGGAGAAAAGTTGCGTCCCAATTTTGCAAGAACTCTTTTGTTATATCCTACATAACCCAACCCAGAAAACATGATCTATGTAGTAACTGACTTGACTTGACACTAGTAACAGCACTTAAGAGTCACTTTGCAAAAGCCAGTCTTGGGATTTTTTTCTCCCCTAAATTCCACTTGCAGATAATAGACAGTTGTGGTGTTGGGTAAGTATAACCTAGATGGAGGCCTCCAGCCTGGTTGGAAAAAAGAGGTGCAGAACTTCTCATCTGGGTGGTGGTGATATAGGTAAAATTTGAAGGAGTGGGACTTAGCAAGATCTAGGTGAATGAAACTGTTCAGGAGTAAAGAATTGAAGTAGAGGGGCTGGGAAGGTGGTCAGTAGTAGAGCACTTGCCTTGCATTCATGAGGCTCTGGGTTCGATTCCTCAGCACCACATAAGCAAAAAGAAAAAAGCTGGGAGTGGCGCTGTGGCTCAAGTGGTAGAGTGCTAGCCTTGAGCTAAAGAGCTGAGGGACAGCACCCAGGTCCAGAGTTCAGGCCCCACGACCGGACCCTCAAAAAAAAAAGAATTGAAGTAGAGGAAAGAGCAGTATATGTCATAAGGATTTGGGCTTTTTTTTTTTTTGGTCATGAAGCAGGATTCTAACTCAGGGCCTTGTATCCACTTAGCTTGCTTGCTTGATTGGTGCTCTACCACTTGAGACATGCTTTTCTAGCCAATTTTTGCTAGTTATTTTGTTTATTATTTTTTGCCAGTACTAGGGCTGGACTCAGGGCCTGTGTACTGTCCCTGAGCTTCTTTTGCTCAAGGCTAGCACTCTACCACTTGAGCCACAGTGCCAGTTCTGGCTTTTTCTGTGTATGTGGTACTGAGGAATTGAACCCAGTGCTTCATACATGTGAGGCAAACACTCAACCACTAAGCCACATTCCCAACCCTATTAGTTATTTTTGAGATGGACTGTTTTCTGTGGGCTGACTTCACACCATAATCCTCTGATCTCAGCCTCTTGGCATAGCTAGGATTACAGGTGTACACCACCAACACCTGCCTGGACATACTTTTTTTGTTATTGTTGTTCATGTAGTAAGTAAAGCATTCTGTTAAAAAACTTTAGCCTGGCGCTGGTGGCTCATGCCTGTAATCCTAGCTACTCAGGAGGCTGAGATCTGAGGATCGCGGTTCAAAGCCACCCCGGGCAGGAAAGACCGTGAGACTCCTATCTCCAATAAACCACCAGAAAACCGGAAGTGGCGCTGTAGCTCAAGTGGTAGAGCACTCGCCTTGAGCTGAAGAGCTGAGGGACAGCGCCCAGGCCCAGAGTTCAAGCCCCACGTCCGACAAAACAAAACAAAACTTTACAATCATTATCCTTGTAAAACCTTTCGCTAAAAAGTAAATTGGAGCTGGGTGCCAGTGGCTCACCCCTATAATCCTACTTAAGAGGCTGAGATCTGAGGATCTCAGTTCAGAGCCAGGCCAGGCAGGAAAGTCTGTGAGATTCTTATCTTCAGTTACCAGCAGAAAACTGGAAGTAGTGCTATGGCTCAAGTGTAGAGTGCTGGCTTTGAGCTGAAGAGCTCAGGGACAGCGCCCAGGTCCAGAGTTCAAGCCCCATGATGGACAAAAAGTAAATGGAGCCAGGCATGACAGTTCACACATCTGATACCAGGTCTTGGGAAGATGAAGAAGGAGGATTACAAGTTCAAATCCACCTTGGACAGGACCCTGCCCCATTAAAAAAAAAAAAAAAAGAAAGAAAGAAATGGGGCCTGGGAAGGTGGCTCAGTGGTAGAGTGCTTGCCTCCCATGCATGAGGCCCTGGGTTCAATTCCTCAGCACCACATAAGCAGAAGAAGCCAGAAGTGGTGCTGTGGCTCAAATGGTAGAGCGCTTGCCTTGAGCTGAAGAGCTGAGGGACAGCGCCCAGGCCCAGATTTCAAGCCCCATAACGGACCAAAAAAAAAAAAAAGTAAATGGCACAAGAAAAGTATTCTAAACATGAGCATTTTTCTTCTCTTTTCTCTTGTTTTAGGCCCGAAATGCAGAAAAGGCCATGTAAGTATCAAACTTTTTTTGTTGTTAAAACTTTTTTTGTGGCCCTGGCACTTGAACCTCAGGGCTTGGGTGCTATCTCTGAAGTTTTTATTTCTGTTTTCCTCAAAGCTTTACCACTTGAGTCAGCACCACTTCCAACATTTTGGTGGCTAATTGGAGATGAGTCTTACAGACTTTCCTGGATGGGTTGGCTTTGAACTCTGATCTTCAAATCTAAGCCTCTTGAGTAACTAGGATTACAGGTGTGAGTCACCAGTATTTGGCTGGCTAAACTTTTTTTTTTTTTTTTGGCTGGCTAAACTTTTATGTAATTTAATGAACACCCAAGAATTTCTAATATTTGTTTTTTTTTTTTTTTTTTTTTTTCTTTTTGCTTATGTGGTCCTGAGGAATTGAACCCAGGGATTTAGACATGCAAGGCAAGCACTCTACCACTGAGCCATCTTCCCAGTCCTAATATTTGGTTCTTTTGGTACATTACTCGTGAGAAAGGGTTTGTATGTTAACATTCTGGAGCTGCGTGCCCATGGCTCACGCCTGTCATCCTAGCTACTCAGGAGGCTGAGGTCTGAGGATTGCTGTTCAAAGCCAGCCTGGGCGGGAAAGTACCTGAGACTGGAGTTTTTTATTTTTTATTTTTTTGTTGGTTGTGGGGCTTGAACTCTGGGCTTGGGCGCTGTCCCTCAGGTCTTCAGCTCAAGGCAAGCCCTCTACCATTTGAGCCACAGCCCCACTGCTGGTTTTCTAGTGGTTTATTGGAGATAAGAGTCTCATGGACTTTCCTTGCCTGGGCTGGCTTTGAACCTGTGATCCTCAGACCTCAGCCTCCTCAGTAGCTAGGATTACAGGCATGAGCCACCAGTGTGTGGCTTCCCTGAGACTTTTTTTTGGGGGGTCTGGTTGTGGGGCCTGAACTGGGCCTGGGCGCTGTCCTGCAGCTCTTCAGCTCAAGGCTAGCACTCTACCTCTTGAGCCACAGCGCCACTTCCGGCTTTTTTCTTTTTGCTTATGTGGTGCTGAGGAATCGAACCCAGAGCCTCATGCATGCAAGGCAAGCGCTCTACCCCTGAGCCACCTTTCCTGAACTCTTATCTCCAGTAAACCATCAGAAAACTGAAATTGGTGTTGTGTCTCAGGTGGTAGAGTGCTAGCCTTGAGCTGAAGAGCTGAGGAACAGCGCCCAGGCCCAGAGTTCAAGCATCACAACGGAATGAAAAAAAAAAGTTCCCATACTTTTCCATTTGTTTTCCCCATAAAGGTTTTCTGGCACCTTCTAGAAAGTATATTGAACGAATGCTTATTTACCTGTGAATGGTGTCAGGCAGACATCTGGGGCCCTGTGATATTAATTTTTAATATTTGGATATATTTCTCACCACAGTACTCTTTTTTTTTTTTTTTTTTGGTAGTGGGGCTTGAACTCTGGGCCTGGGATCTGTCCCTGCACTCTTCAGTGCAAGGTGAGCGCTCTGCCACTTGAGCCACAGCACCACTTCTAGTTTTCTGGTGGTTAATTGGAGATACAAGTCTTTTGGACTTTCCTGCCCGGGCTGGCTTTGAACCGTGATCCTCATATCTCAGCCTCCTGAGTAGCTGGGATTATAGCAGGAGCCACCAGCAGCGCTGACTTAACATACTCTTATCTATAATAGTTTCCAGTAGGTCTGGAATGCAGTGTAAGTCGATAGCTGGTGTTCTGCCGCGTGAGCCACACTTCTGCTTCTATGTTTTTGTTTATTAATTGGAAATAAGAGTTTTTTGATATGTCTGTTTGGGTTGATTTTGAACTGTGATTCTCAATCTCTGTCTCCTGAGTAGCTAGAATTATAGGCCTGGACAACCAACACTTCGTATATTCTAGTTTCTGCTTTTTCTTTTTTCTTTTTGTCTGAGACTGGGACTCCAAATTGGTATCTGATGCTTTTGCTTGCTTGGCAGGCACCCTACCACCTGAGCCACACCTCCTAACCCTAGTTTCTGCTATTTATATGATCTTAAATATGGTTATGAGTAGGTCTACCCTATCAAGAACTGGGTGCTGAGAAATCTGTGAACAGGATCTAATGAGTCTTTTATGTCCCTGGTAGGACGGCCTTAGCAAGATTTCGCCAAGCCCAGTTGGAAGAGGGAAAAGTGAAGGTTGGTGTAAATCTTCCTCATAAATTGCAAAGTATCAAGAGAAATGCAGTGAAATTCCTTAGGTAGAGCTTGCAATCCAAATCTTCCTGTCTGTAAGGCTGATACTCTTAAAAGAGGCTGCTGGCTTGAACTCCAGGTAATGCTTTCCGTAGTGGAAGTAGTGTGATTATTCGATCTTCAATGAAAGGAAAAGAGTGGGGTGTAGGACCAGATGAAATACAATAAAATCACGGAGACTCAGTAAGATTAAGGACAGCATTCAACTTTTAGATGTTTTTCTTTCTGCTTTGGGCACTAAATCATAGGCATTGTAACCTTACAGGAAACATAAAGGAGGCATACTAATCAGAAAGCCATCCAGTTCTCACTTAAATCCAAGGCCAAGTTCTGTAATGAAGAAGATGGCTGATGATGGTGTAGGATGGCTGACTTGTCTTCCCATATGCCACGTGCTCTTTTCTCTGTTTATTATTATTTCCTAGTAATTTGTGTGTGTGTGTGTGCGCGTGCACCTGTGTTTGCTGGTACTGGGTCTTGAACTTGCAGCCTGCGCGCTGTCTCTGGGCTCTTTTTTTTTTTTTTTTGCCTGTCCTGAGGCTTAAATTCAGGGCCTGGGACTGTCCCTAGCATCTTTTGCTCAAGGCTAGCAATCTCCCACTTGAGCCATAGTTCTTGTAGTTAATTGGAGCTAAGAGTTTCACAGACTTTCCCTGCCCTGGCTGGCTTTGAACCATAATCCTCAGAT